CTGTCGACATGCATGTGGTAGCTGTCGACGTGCAGGTGGCACAGGAACCAGGGGAGCCTTCTCCAAAGGCAAACCCTGATGCCGCCCCGCCCAAGACGCAGTCCTTGGTAGGGGGCGATGAGATGGCGAAAGCTGTCGACACGACCGCAGGGAAATGGTCATGGAAGCCCAGCAGCCCGAGAGCCGACCCCAGACCCGCCTACCAAGACGAATGCCATACGAAGCCCACACTGTCAGACCATTCCCTGTTCTTCTCCAACATTACTCAGTGGGGACCACAGTCGGAGAAATGGCTGGCAGGGCCAAGCAAACAATATCAGATGGTAGCATTGGTTGAAACACACATCTCGTCTGGAAAAGAACCGCTCATCTACGACAAGCTAGCAGCGGACGGTTGGAGGATATCATCGACTACGGCCACGCCTACCAACAGATCAGACGGCGGCAACACGGGTGGCGAGATCATCCTTTCCAGGTACCATGTCCAGGCCACCACGTTCAACCACCTCCGTGACCTCGCCATCCCAGCGCAGGCCCGACCCGTTCCTCGGCGTCACGCCCATGGTATGGCACAGACGCTCTGGCAACCTAGTTGTTATTGCAGCGTATCTGAAACCCCACAGGCAGATCGAGGGCGCAGTGCACGATAAGCTACTTTCGCTGGGAGCCTTCGTTACTATGCTCACGGACCCTTGGATCATCCTGGCCGATTGGAATATGACACCTGAGCAGCTCGCAGCGACAGAGTGGCTCGCCAAATGGAATGCTACCATCGTGCGAGCACCTGGATCCGCCACGTGCGACAAGGGCCAGGGTCTCACGCTTGATTTCGCATTGGTCAAGACTGGCATCGAGCACACGATCTCCATTCGCCAGTGCCCCACCGTACCCTGGGCCACCCATGTTGGCCTTGAAGTTCGAGCAGGCAGTGCAGACCCCTGGTGGTATCAGTCGATCGATACTCCCAAGGCATTCCCCATAGTGGACAGACCCAGGATCCCGCCAGACCCCAACAGCAAGACCGCCATCAAGAAACGTAAAACAGCTGAAGCTCGAGCAGCACGTCTACGTGATCTACCTCCTGAACTCCAACAAGCAGCAGCACAACTCCAGCCACAAGACGAGCCCGCAGCACAGGAACCTATCCCTTATGCGATCCCGATGGACTTGTGGGAAGAACAATGGCAGGGAGCGGTACCCACACGTTGTAAGCAGCCTCACGCGCACTTCGTGTACAGACACTGGGTGCACGACGCCGACGACCTCAACCTCAAGTACGCCAAATGGGTCACGGCGCTCGAGAACACCATGATCAGCCACCACCAGATCGACCCGAAGGAAGCCGCAGCATACACAGGCCGAGCCCAAGGCTACCAGTTATCTTGGAAGAAGACAGCCGCCGCCCCAGGCCGCGTACACGTACACGACCCTCAGTCGGAATGGTGGGCAATCACGCTCACCCTCATCAAGCGCTACGCTGCGCTTCACGACAACCCCAAGCACACAGCGCTCATGCAGCAGCAGGCCTCCACCATCCAGCAGCGCGCGGACCACTTCAACACTCACATGCACGACCTCCAGTTCGAGAAAGATGAGGACACCATCTTCCGCTGGTTTGCACTCGTCTGGGCCCCGCACTTGGACAAGGATGACACCGACGACTTGGTCACCATTACCGCTACCTGGGCCTCCAGAGCTCTCTCGGCCGCCCTCGCCAAGTCCAAGAGGGCCTACGGGGCTTGGCTCGCCCAGCAATGGAAGCACCGCCCTGGAGTACTACACGCCCATGTCAAGCCAGCGCCCGTACGTCACATCGAGGCCTACACGGCAAACCTGACCATCGCCGACCCCACCGTTATCATGGACAACAAGAAGCAACAATGGCAACAAGTATGGCAAGCCACCGAGACCTCTGACGACATCCTACAGGCCCTGTCAAAGGCCAAGGCAGCAGCCGCTCATCAACCGCTCGAGCCCATCACAGCCGAGATCGTACACCGCTTTCACGGCCGCATGCCACCCAGTAAAGCACACGGAGTTGACGCCCTAGGACCTCGCGACCTCCATCGACTACCAGAGCCAGCAGTCGAAGCTTATGCAGATATCCTCAACTCAGTAGAGCAAGCAGGCATCTGGCCACTACAAATTTCAGGCACCATTGCAGCTCTCGCCGCCAAGAAGTCTGGAGGCGACAGGGTCCTCGGCATGCTACCTCATATGGCCAGACTCTGGTCTCGCATTAGATCGACTGCATCGGCAGCCTGGACGCAAGGTCTGGACGACTTTTGGACTACAGCCATCAAGGGCTCCTCAGCTCTCCAAGCCGCCCTACATAGGGCCTTGTTAGACGAGACAGCCTCAGCACTTGGCATACAGTCGGCCACCTTGCTATTAGACATCCAGAAGTTCTACGACAATATTAAGCTCGCCAACCTCATCATGGTCGGCCTCAACTGCGGCTTTCCCCCCATCATTCTATTACTGGAAGTACAGCTATACCTGGCGCCCAGATTCTTGCGCAGTCGACAATGGGTGAGTATGCCTATCTTCGCCTCCAAAGGCATCATTGCAGGCTCTCCCCACGGCACCACATTGGCACGACTCATTTTACTGCCAATTCTTCGGCAAGCCCAAGCTCAGCCAGAGCTTGCCCAGATGTGGACCTTCGTAGACGACACTGTTCTTCGAGTCGAAGGAGTCCTACGTACTCTACAGAAGCATCTCCCCCGTGCCGCCAAGACGCTCTGCGACGGTTTAAAGGAGTTCGAGCTGCCTATCTCAGACAAGACCGTCCTCATCGGCTCCACCCCCAAGGTCCGCCACTCGCTAGCCAAGAAAATGCGACAGTACGACATCCCAGTTACTGCGACCGCCACGGCCGTCGACCTTGGAGTTGACGCGGCCGCGGCTACTCGACGTGTACAAGCCAAAGCCAGGAAGCGACAGAGCTCAGTCACAGCTAGGTTTCGCAAGATACACCGACTACGGAGCACAGCACAGCAGGCCCGAATCTCAGCTGGACTGTGGCGCACTGGCGCTCTCCCAGAAGGAGTATTCGGTCATCAGGTGCACGGCCTCGCTCGGCACGCTCTACTACGATGGCGGCGTCAGGCCGCCATTGCTGCCACGGGCGCAGCAGCGGGCCGGTGCCTCACTTCCCTCCTCGGCGCCACCTTTGACGGCATGGACCCAGGAGTTTCCCTAAGGATCGAGTTCATAGAGGCATGGCTTCAGCACTGGATACGCCACCCGAGCACGCACGCCAGGATCATCAGGGCCTGGCCAAGGATCAAGACCACCTTGCTCGCCGCAGGCCCCAAGCTGTGGTGCAAGGTCAAGGGGCCCACAGGAGCGGCCATCGCGACCCTGCTGGAGGCCAGTTGGGAGCCGACCTCAGCTACCACGTGGAGACGTACAAAGGACGGCTACATTGAGGAGTGGAACCTCCCCCCTGCCGATGACCCTGACCTCCTCGACGCTGACATTCACACAGTATTGCAGGACCTCAGCGAGGATTTACACAGGCTCCTCTGGACTCAGGCCGCTACGCATGCCCATGGTGACACGCTGGCTGGAGGCGCAGACATGGTCACTATCCGCATTGAACAAAGGAGGTTCCTCGCAAACGGCGACTTCAGCGACTGGGCCCTCAACAACACCATCATCAGCGGAGGGCAGTGGACCAGAGACCGCCTCCACAACGCGGGCTACCAGATCGACAAGAACTGCGACCGATGCAGCGCTGGAGTTCCTGAAACCTTGGTTCACCGAATGTGGCAGTGCGAGGCGAATGTGGGACCCGAGTTTGAGGCCAGTGACAAGCTGCTGCCGCGTGCCGTGGCGGGGGTCGATGCCGACCCCGCCTTGTGGCTCCGCGGCATTCCCTCTGTCGCTCTCACCACGCCCACGTTCGAGCCATTGATTGGGAGGGACGGGTGGGAGTTTGTTGGGGCGGTGCGGGAGGGATTGCCGTCTTGGGAAGGAGCTCGTAACGCAGAGGGCGAGTTGTTTCTTTTTGGTGACGGGTCTGGCGGAGCCTTTTCCGACGACGTCAGGCGACGTCGCGTTGGTTCTGGCCTCGCGGCCCTCCGTTGGGACCCTCCCTCGGCCTCCTGGACCCTCCTCGCGGGCCTCCTTGCCCCCCTCCCAGGCCCCCGCCAGACCGTCCCAAGAGGCGAATTATATGCGTTTTGCCTGGCACTTGAGACGTGCCAGCAGGATTTCACGTTTGTTACAGATCACCTAGCCCTGCAGCGTGGTTGGCAGAATGGCAGATGTCTCAGGCCAGGCAGCCTTGGAGGTAAGAATAAGAATGGGGATCTCTGGCTGAGAATTCGGCACCTCGTGCAGGATCGACCTGGCGGCGTCTCCTCGGTCACGGTGCTCTGGACCCCATCTCATGCCGATCCCCAGACTTTGCATGGTTTCCAAAAATTTCTTGCTCTCGGCAACCAGCAAGCCGACGAGCTCGCGGGAAGCGCGGCCCACAAGTCGGCCACCCTTGCCCTCCCGCCTGTTCCCAGGACCGATGAATACGGTGCTATCGCAGCCATTGTCCGACAGAGGGCACGACTGATCCTACGTTCCTTAGGCAAGAATTCAGAGCCTCGAGGACTGTGGCCAGAGAGGCAACCCACCCAGGAGGCAGCCCCTCGTTCTATGTTGCAGACCGCGATCGCGGCTTCTCAGCACAAGTTCGAGCGGTGTGCAAATAAATGGCGATGCTCTGCCTGCCTCATCATCGTCGATGCTGGCCACGTTATTCCAGCTGCCGCCACGGAGTGTGTACCGCCTTGCCCCCTTCCCGAGTTTGCTGCGTGTGGCGAGGTGCTGTGGTCGCGGGGTCCCCGTGTGATCAGTGGCAAGGCGATACACCCCTCCCACACGTTGGCCACCATCCCCAAGTGGCAAATGTTCTTCTGTGTGAAGTGCGGCCATACGGCCACACACCAGGTTAAAAGCCTATTTTTCCTTGCCCTCTCTCCCACCAAGTGGGAGAGCGCAGGGCCCTGGGACCCACTGGCAAAGGCCTCGAAAACCTCAGCAGGATCAGGCGAGGCCTTCACCCGTCCAGATCGGGTCCCAGCAAGTCTGTTCTAGAGGCTATGCACGTTTCGGCAGCCGAAGCCGCGATCGGTTCCTACGCGGCGGGTGCTGCCTCCGAGTAAATTGTGAGGCCAGGGGGGCCTGTCGCGGTGTGCCGTGGGATGTCGCCCCCCACGGCCCTCCGAGAAATATTGGATGGCCCCCCTGGCGTCTCTGGGTTCCGAACGGACTACGTCCGATTGCTCCACTCCACTCCTCCCTCCTCCTCCTCCTCCTCCTCCTCCTCCTCCTCCTCCTCCTCCTCCTCCTCCCTCCTCCTCCCCTCCTGCTCCTGCTCCTCCTCCTCCTCCGCCTCCTCCTCTCACCTCCTCCTCTCCTCCTCCTCCCTCTCCTCCTCCGCCTCCTCCTCCTCCTCCTGCTCCTCCTGCTCCTCCTCCTTCTCCTCCTCCTCCTCCTCCTTCCTCCTCCTCCTCCTCCTCCTCCTCCTCCTCCTCCTCCTCCTCCTCCTCCTCCTCTCCTCCTCCCTCCTCCTCCTTCCTCCTCCTCCTCCTCCTCCTCCTCCTCCTCCTGCTCTCCTCCTCCTCCTCCTCCTCCTCCTCCTCCTCCTCCTGCTCCTCCTTCCCTCCTCCTCCTCCTCCTCCTCCTCCTCCTCCTCCTCCTCCTCCTCCTCCTCCTCCTCCTGGTCTTCCTCCTCCTCATCCTCATCTCCCCCCTCGTCCTCCTCCTC